GACACTACAGAAGAAGAGCCTGTGCCCAGGGAACTGAAGCTGGGGCTGGGGCACCTGCGACCCTGTGCCTGGTGCACTGGGGAGTAGGGAGCACCTGCATGCTCAGTGCAGCAGGGAGTAGAGTGCTTGTATGCAATGGGGTAGAGTGTGCCCAGTGGAGCGAGGGATAGGAAATGCCTGCGTAGGGAGCAGGAGGGTACAGTGCACCTGGTGCAGCCTGTGGGGCATGTGTCAGGGTTACCATATGTCCAGGTTTTCCTGGATGTGTCCTCTGATCTCTTTCCAGGAGTTTTTTTGAAATACGAACAAATGTGAGATTTTGCTCTGCTAGTCCCTTTTCAACATCAGTGCTAGTAGAACTACATTTCCCAGCTTGCCCTAGCAGCATGTGTGTTTACTAGGGATCCAGGTTTTCCATTTGCTGAGGAAAAACATATCTTTTCCTTTTTAAAGGAGGAAACCATGGGTTTCCCATTGCTGGCTGGCAGCCTTCCACCCTGCAAAATGCTGCTTGAGATGATTGGAGGCAGGAGGTGCCATGTGTGCCTGCGCACATACACTCATGTGGCCAGCATACAGCCCGGCAAGGTGGTGGAAGCAGCCCCAGCAGCTGGATGCAGGGAAGTCTATGGGGAGCAGGGGTTGGCAGGCCAGGGCCTGGGGACTGTCATGGGTGTGTGTGTGTGTGTGTGTGTAAGGATTGGGGGGGTGGGGGGAAGGTGCCTGCCAGTGCTGGGGAGAGATGGCTGGTCGCTGGGGCTGGGGAGGGCAGAGTAAGCAATTGGGGGGTGCCTGCCTCTCCAGCAGGAGAAGGGAGTAGGGGGCCCTGCTGGGCCAGCAGGGAGCTGTGTGGTTAGGCCAGCAGCACTGGGCCTAGTGCCCTTGCTCACAGAGGTGGGGCAGCTGAGAGATGCTGGGCGGGGGGGGAGGAAGGACCGTGGCCAGGCTGCCTGGCATGGTACAGGAGCTCCAGCCCAGGATAGGGGGTACCACAGATCTTCCCTCCAGCCCATGCTGGGATGGGACACCCTTCACTGCCACCCACATGAGTTAGAGCTGCCACAGCTGTTGCACTCCAGCCCAGTCAGGATGGGGGCAGCTGGAGGCCCCCTCTGAGGCATGGCTGGAGAGCAGGGGGCTGTGGGTTGGGAGTGAGGGGCACCAGGGGGAGCAGGTAGACTGTGGGTCAGGAGTGCAGGGCACTGGCAGTGCCAGGGAGCTGCGGGTCAGCATCAGGGATGGGGGACTGTGGGTTGAGAGTGAGGGGCACCCCCGGACAGGTGTTCTCTTTTTTGGAACTGGAAATATGGTAACCCTAGTATGCAGTCCCCAGCTGCTAAGAATTTAGACAGTCTTCCTCTAATAATACTGCTTTCTCACCTCCATAACAACTCCATCCCTCCTCAGCAGTACATGCAGAGTACAGTTGGTAAAATCACTTTTCTTTCTTACTGAACCACATCAGTCCTCCTTTGAATGATTGCTACACCATGTCAAGATCAAGTCACTTGCTAGTTACTTTCAAGACCAACATACTACCATTACAGATACTGCCTACATGCTCACCTCATTTCCTTCTCACATCCCTCACTCCTTTGGGTCTACTGATGATGCTAACTTAAAAATCTGTTTTCCCCCCACAACCATTTCCAATGCTGCCCTCTACAAAAGGGATGACCTTCTCATGATGGTCTAAGCCACTACCCTCTCTGAAAGGCACATTTCCTCTGCAATACCTAGTGCCTACTTACCAGTTAGTCTTCAACTTATTTTCTCCCATTGATCTCAATTACCGAAGCAAAAAAATACTTCCCCCATCATGTTGTGCTTACTAAATAACCCCACAATCCTACTAATATTTCCGTGTCTTCCCTCACCTTTATATCATGCCCAAAATTAACCTGTTAATCTTGTCTTTTATTGTTTTGAGAGACAATTAGACCCTTTTGAGGCACTGTTAAAACAACTCTTAAAAATACCTTAGGATATAGCCTTTCTGATAGAAAAGTCTAAGAGTACAAAGACAAAACAATAATTTGCCACACAAGTTAGCAACATAAGAGAGAGCAAACAATGCTATTATAGGTCAAGGCTTGAAAACATGTCTAGATCTCATCACCTGAGAACAAGCCAGGACTATAGAGATAAATAAAACCTTAGAGATAAATGTAACTGGTGAAAAAAATTCTAAAAAGTCTTGTGGCCATAACTGCTTTTCATTCTAAATGTCCTCAGGATGCTGTTTCAGTGCCTCTAATTTTGTTGCTATGAATCAAAGGACCCTGCTTAGTATAATTCATGTTGCTTAATATGAAGAATCCTAAAAAGCTTCAGATATTATGCATCTTTCCCTGTCCCATAGGTTTTGGGGCAGATGTTACATTTTAAGTGCTTCAAATACCTTTGAAGTGCTTCAAAGGGCAAGCCAGACAGACGTGCATGCCCTTTGTAGTACTCCAAAATTGCCAGAAGTACTCCAAAACTGACCCTGAAAGAAACAGCTACTATTTATGAACACTTCAAAATGAAGTGCTTCCTGTTACATATGCTCTACCGAGTGTAACACAGGACCATAGGGTCCACCAGCACCCCAAATACACCATCTCCGTGGGGGAGAGTAGGTCACAATGTCAATGAGTGCTCTCTTCTATGCACTCCGTCTCTGCTCTCCAGAGCCCCGTCAGTGCCCCAAAATGGGAGGCCATGACTGGAGTGGAGCCAAACAGGAGGTCGCCAGAGCCCCATGTTGTACCTTCTGGATGAAGAACATGCAGCTACATGCAGCTGAAGCAATGCTGAAGTGCTCCAGCAAGTGGGTATAGCAGGGGCTGCATGTCTATTCATGGCTGAAACACTCCAAATGTTATGTCCATCCCCACCCCTAAACTTAAAATGAGGATGTGTACAGATGCCAAGAGGACACATGCGTGTACTCACAAATAGATAACATATTTGCTTGCTACTGGCAAGCAAAAACAAATCAAAATACCTTTGTGTGTCTGAAGTAGAGCTGTGTACCTCTGCCGTTGCATCTGCAGAACCACTGCATAGAAGCATGAGTTAACTTTGACTCCTAGCTTCTGAGCTATCCCATGATAGAATATTAGACTAAATAGTACAGTTGACACCTTTATTTAATTCTCCTCCCACTGCATGGTCTCCATTGGTAATGTGTTTTTCTTCTACTTCGTGCTCTAGCAGTGATAGTGAATGCTGATGAAAATACTTAGTCCAAGGATTAGTTCTTTTTTACATAGGATTAAACAGTTCCTTTCCAGAGCATCTTACTCTTACCAAATAAACTGTGTTTATTGTTTTCTTACAGAGGTTTCCTTTATATCCAGTATCAAACGCTGGTTAGTTCCTTCAGGACTGTCGTGAACACGCTATTCAAAGTACTTTAACACAACCAAGAGCAAAATCCAGACCAGTCCTCCAGGCGCCTCTACCTTAACATAATAACACCTAACAATTAGGTACCTGGCTTTGGGAGGATAATTCAAAGAACAGAGTTGGGAGCCTAGGCTCCCTATCCAGAGAACAGGAAGAAACAGCTCCCCCCGCAAAGGGTAGTTCAAAGAGTCAAGAGGGACCCAAACGGATCTACAGGGATCCTGGTTTTCTCTGATAAAAAAAAAAAATCCCCAATTTTTGGATTAAAAAACTAACCCCAAATCCACATTTTTCCATGATTTGAAACACCACTAATATATAAATATATGTAGAGTTGCATTTCATTTTAATCAAGGAAAAATGTGGATTTTGGGTTACTTTTTTTAAACCAAAAATTGGGGATTTTTTTTTAAATCAGAGAAAACCAGGATCCCTGCTAATCCATAAGACATATGAGGCAGAGATATGTCTGAATTCCCATCTTCCTACAGAGCTTAGGCACCAAATTCAGGTGCATGCAAGGAACCACTGTCTACTCAGGATCCAGAGTACCTAATCCTTCTTCTGAGGGGCACTCACCTTTTGCTTATTAGTCTGGTGGCTAGAAGACTTAATCAGGAAATTGTCTCCCTCAACCTGGGAGGTTCAAACCCACATCTCCCACTTCCTAGCAGTGAACTAACTACCAGACAGTAGAACAAACTAAGTGTTTGCACCTTGCATATAAGGAAGTGAAAGGAATGCATAAGTCCTAGGGACAGGAGAAGAAGCTTGGGGTATTTCTGGGTTATGGTCCCCACTCCTAAAACAGTTTATAGATTTTCTGAATTTTATGTTAGACAGTCACTAGTCAAAAGACAGAAATAACATTGCCAGCGGGGACCAGACTTCAAGTGTCCTTACCCCAGCTGAGTGCCCTAGCCACTACGCTACAGTGTCCAGCTCCTCCCTTGTTTACCCTCATCCTAGCCCCCTGACTCTTGAATTGTTGGGAGCACAGTGGTAAGACAGCTTCTTCAATAGGAGGTATGGAGAAGGTCCTTCACCCAGAGTATTTTATAGCATGTTGGTTAAGGAACTCTCCAGGGAAAGTGGGAGATGTGGGTTTGAATTCTCTAGGTTGAAAAGGGTCAAAACCCCAGGTCTCCCACTTATTAGGTCAGGGGTTGGCAACCTTGTCACCATTGGGTGCTGCTTGCAATCCAGCCCCAACTGACAGCTGCACCCCACTTGTTTCTGGAGCTCAGCAGATGCTGTGAAGGGAATAGAAAGATAAGATATAGGCACTAGAACCCTGGGGATGCCACCTCTGCTGCAGCAAAGACAATAAACTGAACATGGCAGGCAACAGGACCTGGGCGTGCCTCCTCTGCTGCTGGGACTGCAGCATGTTGCCAATTTCCTGAGCTACTGTGGGCTGGATCCATTGTCTTTGTGGGCTGGAACCAACTCACAAAGACACTGGTGAATGTTCTAATCACTAGATTGTTATGCACCCCAACCCCCACCTTACTTGAGTTTGTTTCTGAGTGAAAGTAACTGTGGCATCCTGAACTCAATACTCTCAGGGGAGAAACAGATGTTACCTTATGTTGCATTTTACATACCTTGTATTTCTGAGATTTCCCCAATACATTTGCCAAAGAAAACATAAGAGAATGATCATTAGGTATCAATTCCAGGGCCTCTTTTCCAACTGCTTCTGCTTGTGCTAAATTGCCTGGGAGTGCATAGTAGAGGAGGGTGGGGGTGGATGAAAGGAATGGGAGAAGATAAACAAAGAGAGAAGGCCACTTTTAATATTACTTTGGTTCCTTTTGCTACTTTTCATATTGTAAGCAAATGCACAGTATAAATAATGCTGAATGTGCAACATTTCCAAAGTAAAGCAGGTGCCACATTCAGATGTAAAGCCCCATACTATATACTTACTGCTGATAAGATAGTTTGGCATACAGCACAATGTAAAAGAAAACCATTACAGTGTTTTCAATGTGTAACACTTCCACTGAAAGCATACAGCTAATTTCTCCTGTTTAAGGGGGAGGCTGAATGTCAACTCTGTATCACAAACAGGTTTATGTAATGACTGTGATTCAAAGGTGGAACAACAATGCAATTTACAGGCTTGATGCTAAGTGGCACCTAATTTATTTTGCAGAAGGAGTAAAACCCCCAGTTGCCATCACTATGGTATCAAACTTTAGATATGCAGGCACCAACTACATGTCTGTGCTATCAGCTGATCCCACATGCAAATGTGTGCCTACAGGATTAGAGGCCAGGTTGAAAAATGAATATCCAATTAGTATCACACTGTGAAATAGAAAAGTATGACTAGAAAGGACCTTGGGAGGTCATCTAGTCCAATCCCCTGCTCAAGGTAGGATCAACCCTCTCTAAACCATCCTAAACATACATGTCTAACCTGTTCCAGAAAACTCCAGAAACGAACCTCATATACAGCTACCAGATCTGATGCCTGAAACATCAAAAACATCATTTGAACTTGCCAGAGGTAAAGCAGGGGAACAAGGAAATTGTCAATGTCCTGCCACTGCAGGAAATTGGCATATTTGTTTAAATATGCTCAATAGACCCAATGAAGGGGAATTTCCCCCACGTTCCACAGGAAGGCAAAAATTCCCATGGTCCAGGCCAATCTGACCATGGGGTAAAATTTGTTCCTGATCCTAAATGTGGTAATCAGCCTGACCCTGAAGGAAGAAAGAAGATCCTTGAAGCCACTGATTCCTACAGGGTGTGCTGTGGCACACCAGTTTATTGCAAGAGTGGGGAAAATGTGTCTCAAAAAATGGTATTTTATGAGATCTGGCCTGCAGAGCTCCTCACAGGTCTGGAATTTTGGTGGTGGGGGCTGGTGGCAATTAATACTGCCATCGCTCCCCTGCCACCAAATTTCTAAGCTCCACAAAAATGAATCAGGCCCCAGCTGGACCCACCTCTCAAGAAGTGATCGGGCTCTGGCTGCATCTGTCCTGCATGGAGGGATGGGCCCTGACTGGGTCAGTAGTGTGTGCAGGATTGGGCCCATGGGTCAGATCTGGCCTGTGGACTGACCTGGCACCACTCATCTGGCCCACAAGGCCAAAAGTTCAGGCACCACTGTTTAAGTTTTATATTACACATACACACACACAGCTTGCAGATGTTAAAAAACAAACAAACAAACCCCCAAAACTGCACTTTACTTTCAACTTGGTGCATTCTCACGTGGAGACCCATGCTTGCCAGAAAGAGGCAGTACCTAGTTATGCCCAGTTCTCCCAACATCTGTATAGGTTGGGCACTTTAGTGGGGTGTTTCTGGTGCTTTTATCTAATAGCTGATTGTATCACCTTTAGCTAAAAGTGCCCCAAAGCCCCGATGAAGTGCCCGATCTACAGCTGCTGCAGAACCAGGTCGAACCAATGTGCTGCTTCTTCTGGTAAAGTGTGTGGGGGGGGGGGGATTGTTTTCTTTTTTTTTTCTTAATGTCTGCAAGCAGCAACACACGCACACATTTTATACACACGCCCCCCGCCCTTCTTGGGCATAAGAGTTTGAAGTAGGTTGCAAATTTTTATCCAAAAAAAGTGTGCCCCAGGTATCAAAAGTTTGGGAAACACTGCTTTAAGTAGAAACCTCGGGGTTTTATTTTAAGTCCTGACAGAAGCATTAGCACACCCTAGTCAAAATCCCATGCGTTGGCTGCAGCTAATGCTTCTAAAAGGCTAACCTCCTCCCTGACCCAATAGCATCATGAAGGGAAAGAATTCCTACCTGGCTCCGTGACAGTCAAAGCCCAGAAGGGTAAAATAACCAGACATCCTCTACTCTGCACTGCAACCTGACTGGGGAGCCAGAACTCCCTTTTCTATCATCCTATACTATATGTAATCTTGTCCCAGTTTTTTAATCCATTACATGATCCTCCCCAATTTTCACCTATTCTGAGCTGCACAGTTGATTCCAGCCTGAAGTTAATCCTAAAATAGAACTACACTTGCATTTTTTTCCTTTCTATATTCATTTGTATCTTTCAAAGAGGAGGAACACATTTTTAATGGGAGGAATCCAGAGTTCAGCAGTCTTGGAAAGTAAAGGGGAAGCAATAATATACACCTGCTTCAAAACTGTACACCAAAGCAACAGATGTAGCCTCAAGATTTGTGCAAAATGTTAAATAATTCTTTAAAGTTATCCATATACAGTACCTGTATTGTCAAGCAATATGATCATGTTGTTCCAGGCCAAACTGTGTTCTGGTTTCAAAACTGTAGCATTTCTCCATGCATTCAGTGCATCTATGTGGCGATTCAAATCTGCATACTAGGGAAAAAATTGCAATAATTGCTATCATTTTTTTTCTATCACAATTGATGCTAAAATATTCTAGAGTTACTCAGTCTTATTCAACTTTCCTTGTGTTCCTTCAATAAAACAAGACTAAAACACAGCCACTTGAAATATGAGAATACTATATCAGAGGGTAGGTGAGGTTGCATTAAGGAAGATGATTTTTAAAAAGCATTTAAGAAATCATTACACATACCTTTAAATTACACACACACACTTATATAATTTGTGTTATATATAATATGTAATTACACACACATCATATATCATCTATTGTATTATTTATATATAGAGAGAGATATAGATATATGCATATATAATTATGTATAATACACAAATATATATATAAATAATGTTTTGATGTAAAGAGTATTAAGCAATCAATTTTCTGTTCCGTTTTTGTGCAATTCATGCAAATTTTTAAATGTACACATGCTTTTTTCATTGATTTTAAAAGAAAAGGATAGCCACATATTAGAAATCTAAACTGAATTATTTTCCTGGTATGGCTCTGTACAATGTTTTGTTGAATATACCAATTACAACTGAAGCCAAGATTTTGACAAGAGAATAGTAATTATCTTCTGGAAGAAAAAAAAATGTAGATTTGTAAAAAATTTAGATTTTTCTCCCAATTTTTGTTTATATGTTTTTTGCATAAACTTAAGCGGTGTGCATTGTTTGCATTTTTTGTAGGGAGAAAGTATGTCGGAATAGTGAAAAAAGAGCCTTGAGAACATAAATCTTCCCTAATCCACACAGAAGCAAATTGGAATTGTTGTCAAGGTTGAGCAATGAAGCAGAATTTTCATTCAAAATTCAGCTATTACATTATAAGTACTTTTAAGTCATATGTGCAATTTCCATTTCAATCAAGAATACTTACCAAACGTCCTAAATTGTAGTAACAGTCTGGGTATATTTTCCTGTGTTTAATTGCAGTCCAGTAGCTCTGCTCTGCCTCTTCAAATCTTCTTAAACTATTCTGGACTATTCCTAAATTCATCCATGCAGCAGCAAAATCAGGCCTAGGCAAATTTTTAAAATACATTTTAGCATTTGGAATACAAGCTCCTATTGTATTGTTTGTGTTTACTTGACAAGCAACAATGCTTGGCATTTTTTTGACATACTGTATTTGCACAGCTAAGGACAGCAGCTCCTCTGCTTCCCGGAGCTCATTTCTTTCTTTCAAGATGTTTCCAAGGTTGTTCATGGCATGTACATATTTGGGATTCAACCTAGAATACAGAAGATTGTTACTCATAGGGAAATGAGGTACTTTTCTGCTAGGTTGTTAGTTATTTAGATAATGCTGCGGCATTTTTGCACTGCAACACCCACTGTCCTAAATATGATTTCAGTCTTACTAGGCCTGAGAAAATAAAAGTACTCTGAGGCTAGTTAAGCAAAGCAATACATTCATAATACCTTACAGCTTCTCGGTAATATTTGATAGCAGCTGTTTGATTGCCTTTGTCAGCCAAATTCTTGCCAACATTGTAGTGCACCTGGAAAAAAAATACAGAATGAAATTTTACCAAATGTTCCATCCATTTAAATAAATTATTTAAATGTGTGGCAAAGTCAGAAGTTTTATTAGCTTTGCTGCACAATGTATTTGGCTGCCAAACAGACAGTGGGCACATCTGTGCACGCCGATTTAAAGTGTGTTAGCCCGATTTAAAGTGCATTAAGGGCATACATGCGTAGCCACACACCCTTAATGTGCCTTAAAAATGGTGGTTTTAGGTTATTTGCACCTAAATTTGATACCTGCTTAGGCATGAATAGCTAAAGCGCATTAACGCATGTGTAGACGCATTAACACACATTAACACTTTATGGACTGACTTGGGACTAACTTTAGTCTCATGTTAGTCCACTCACACGGTGTTAATGCACTTTAATGAGTGCATGTGTAGATGCAAGCCTAAATCACCTTAATGCGCATTAAGCTAATGAGCATTAAATTTAGGCATACCTAAATGCACATGTAGACACACCCTGTGAATCCAAGAGAACAAAACTTCTGGCTACAGAATAAGTATTGCTGGGATCCTTTGACCCTAGCTGACTTCCTGCCCTTGGGGTAGGGGGCTGGACTTGATGATCTTCCGAGGTCCCTTCCAGCCCTAATGTCTATGAAATCTATTTTTGTCTTTCACTAACAAATTGTTTCATGGCTACCTCTAACACATTTGCTTGCGTTACAGAGCTGGTAGTTGAGGCTAGCTCCTGTGACAGTTTTCTGAGTGGACAACTTTTGATATTTAACACCAACTATGACTAGGAAGGTTTTTTTTGCTTCCTGGCGTTGCAAACACATGTTATATGAAAAAGTCCCTTGTACCATGCGGATGGATAGATGTGTAATAATGTTAAACCTATATTTTAACATTATTTACAACTAGATTGCACCATACAGGCACAGGCTATTACAAGGGACAGACAGACCAGCAAAAGGCTTCCAGATGCACACAGACATGTGTGAAGTGCAGGTAACTTCTTCCAGGTAGCTGGCTAGCCAGCTTCAGTAGCTACTGAATAGAGAAACTGTGGACTATGCCCCTCCCCAACCCTGTGCATTTCCAAGAAAAGTAGGGACACAGCAATTCTCTCTCTCCACTGAGCCCTGGCTTCCAATTCTGCATGTCCCTATATAACTATACATTCTTGCGTTCTGCCACATCCTGTGCGCTCAGGTATACCACATAGAACCTGGCCTCTAACAATAGGAAAAACTGTAATGTTTTTAAAATTTGGCCTTCATGAACAATAATGCCTTTGACAGGAATTGTGCATAGGTACTTGAGGAGAGCTGTCTCCTTTTCTGTTTAAAGATTTAAAAGCAGATGTAGTGTTTCATTATTGAATCAGCATTCAAGGACGATAGTAACTGGGAATGAACTATTACACTATGCCCACATACTCCTTCATCAACCTTAAACAGATAATTATGTTATTATAATAGCTCTAAAAGGAATACTCCTTAGGGCTGTGTAACAAAACAGTATTCTTTAAGAACTAAGTGATTAAAAAAGGTAGTGTAAAATGCACTGGAGTACTTTAAAAATACTCTAAGCTGGAGCCTCAGTTAATACAGATCAGCACAGCTCTACTGAAGTTAATGGAGCTATGACAAATTGATACGAACAAGAGAAGCAGCCCCTGTATACTTGTCTTTACATAAATACACCAGTGGGCTTAAGGAATCAATACAAACTATTTTTAGGCAGGCAGTGAAACTGAATACTGTTCTGTGGTAAGTATATACACAGTGTTTGAACTGCGTGTGAGACAGAGGGACAGAGAGACGCAATAGTATTCACCTGGTCCCAGCCTCTCAACTGTACTGGAGCCTTGAAGGCAAGGCTCCAGTGCATTGGGGTAGAGGGGAAAGCCCAACATACAGCTGTTTGTCCAGCTCCCAGCCCCCTTACTGCACTGAAGCCTTAAACTGGTCTTGGTATGGTTCCAGGGCTGAGACCAAAAATCAGCTGAATCAACCCTGGAGCCACACTAGAGCCAGTTCCAGACTTTGGTAGGGTATTATGATCTATATTTAGGTTGTAGCAAGTATTAACAGTGATGATTGGGGACACCAGGGTTTTATAATGTACCCTGAGGCAACCAAAATGGCGCAGCATATGTAGAAGGGTGGGGTACCTGCCCACACAATGCCTCATCACAGTGTGCTACAGATGTGAAGGGATGGGGAACAGAGCAGCAGTGTCAGGAGTCCCTAAAATGCACTATATGTAAGGGAGAAGGACAATTATAGGGGCCCCAAAACCTTTGCAAGTATAGTCAGGCTCCCTGAGGAACAGCAAAACCTAGAAGAGGAGAGTGGAAGAGAGGTAGGGTTGGATACTGAGGTAGAAATGGAAGAAGAAACCCCACAGGAGGTTGAAACAGAGAAGGAGGGGGCTTGAGGCAGTGCAAGAGGAGATAGGAGATGGAAGGGAAGGGAAGGCAGGAACAGCAAACAGCTCAGACATGGAGGTGGGCATGGGGAAGAAAGAAGATAACTTACAGACAACAAAAGTGGAGATGGAGCAAAAGAAAGAACCAGACAGACAATCCGCGAAAAGAAAGAAAAATGCAGGGGCTGAAAACCAGGAAGAAGAAACCTGATAATGAGGGAGGTGAGTCGGAGAAAGAGCCGGAGGGCAGTTTTCTGCTGCTAATGCCTCTGGGCTCTCACCTCGAGTGGACACCAGAAGGTGGTAAGTAGCAGGAAAGTGGGAATATGGAAGCCTTCCTAAATGCAAAAGTGATCCGACAGCTTGCAAAGGCTATGGGAATGCAAGTGAGGGAAGGAGACAAACGCAGATTTCTCGTTTTACCAGAGAAACCCACGATTTTGCCATTTTGCACCAGTTTGCAGGAAGCTGGGAAGAAGGTGGTGAGACAGGGGTCGCCACATGCATTGACGTGCACATGACCCCAGTCAGGGCTGGGGTTGCTGCCCACCCAGGCAGTGCTTGGGGCCTGGGGCTGCAATGCGTGGCTGCAGGGCCCCAGAAGGGAGCAGGAAGGGGCCAGAAGTGGCTCGTCTGGGGCGGAGGGAGGGCTGGCTCCCCACCACCGTGCGTACTCCCAGGGAGCAGAGGGGTCCAAATTAAAGGGCATCTAAGCAGGGCTTTTAAAATCCATACGGGGTGATACAAGAGTGCCACCTTTCACCACTACTGTGTGTGCGCAGCACAGAACCATTAGTACAAAGAATAAGAAAAGACAAGGTCATATGTGGAGTAAAGATACAGGGAATGGAAGAGGTAAAATGCATTTATATACAGGGATGATATACATGTAGTAGTTAGAAATGGGCTTTCGATGGAAAGGGTGCTAAAGCATACATCAGAGTATGGAGAAGTGATAGGGGCTAAGCTAAATAGACCAAAAAAGCACCATAATGGGAGCGGGGAACTGGAGGGATTTGGAGAAGTTGGGCCTTCAAGTGAGTGAGAGAGAAATCAGAGTGCTAAGGATGCCGATGGACACCAAGGGAAAAAGTAATACAGCATAGGAAAAGCTGATGGCAAGGATATGACAAATACTTCGGTTATGGTCAAGGACACTGTCCTTTGCCAGAAAAGTGATGATGGTTAAGGCTGTGCTACTGCCAATTATTTTATATATGGGAATTGTATTCCTGCCAATGTGGTAGCAGATAGCAAAAGTATTGAAAGAAACGTGTACGTTCTTCTGGAATGCCAAAAGAGAAAGGTTGGCTAGATCTGAACTGTACAAAGCAAGAGAGAGGGGGAAATGGGGTGGCCAAACTTGGGATCATTCATCTATGCAAAATATGTAAGTATGGTATGCAAGGTGAAAATGGAGGGAGCAGGGAAAGCAGCAACCAATTTCACGCAACTACAATTTTGAGGAAATGGGGAGTATATTAGACCTCTTTAAAGAGTCCATGGGCATAGTAACTGCCGATTTATCATACCAGGATGGAAGGTTTAATGGAAAGGTATAAAATAGGGAAGGTATGGCTGGAGGTCCTGAAGGATCATATGAAATTAATGAAAGTGGTAAGGGAGAGAGACAGGATGGTGCAGGTAGGAAACTTCACAGCAGGACAAGGGAATGTGGTGTGGGAAGCAATGACAGGTAAACAACTAAAAGGGGAACATGCTGACCTAGCGCGGATGGTTGTAAGAAATATCTTGCCAGTGAGATAGGTACAACACAGATGGAGCTTGACAAGGTACCCAAGGGAGAGGTGCAGGTAAGAAGAAATGGTGGGATATGTGTTTTGGAAGTGTACATATGCAAAGGGGATGTGGAAAAGGATCTGCCACTTTGAGTGACACCAAAATAAACCTGTCATTAGCGTGGGAGATGGTACTATATGCACTTATACCAAAGGGACCAGAGGATTCTATGAAATGCTATTAAGGACTTTATTAGCATGTGTTAAAACTAGCTTATAGAAAGTAAAGAAAGAAAGAAAGAAAGAAACTTCTGGGTTTATAAGGGGTTGGCTTTTACTGGAAGAGAGTGCCTGAAACTGGGACTACATGAACTGAAATACTACACTGATCGGAAAAAAAAGATCGAGAGGAAGAGGCAGAAAAAGGACCGGACATGCTTATTTCACTAAACCAACAGAGAGGACTGATGAGAGGGGCAGAAAGTTTCAGGTGGTTACTGAGGTAACAGTTTTTCGTGGAGTTCTGTATGAAGAAAAAGATTTTTGTAAGCATCTTTTTTTGTGGGAAGCTGATGTATGTTGTTTAAAGGTTTAATATATATAGTTTTATGTTTTTGATCTGTAGTTGTTTCTGTGCTATGAATCTTGGTAAAACCAGGATGTTAAAGATGTATAGCTTTGTAAGTGTAGGGTGATGTGTGTTTTTTAATAAAAATTTGTAAAACGTTCCCATAAGCTTTTTTGGCACCACAGGATGGTGTCAGAGCTTGCTCCAGCTTCCCCAAGTGCTGACCTGGTATTGCAGCATCTCCAGGCCTGGAGCTTGTTCTTTCCCAGGGAAGCAAC